CTGGCTGACAAGCTCTCGAACGAGTGGATTCGCCATGATGAGAGGATTTCCGAGATGAAGGAGAGTATGTCTGCGCTCAAGAGTTCTGTTGGCCAAAAGGATGGTGAGCTTGAGTCTCTTATGGCTACCCTGCACGAACGCAAGGAAGCCTACTTTCGCCTCGAACATAAGCATGCTGCTCTGGCCCAAGACCGCGACAAGCTGCTAGCCAAGTTTGACACCCATGTGGATGCCACGGAGGCATCCAAGCATGAGATTGCTGCTAACGCGTACAAGTTGGGATACTTGGATTGCCGAAATGGTACTTCTCCATGCTGCCCTCTCGAAGATGATGATGGCGAGCCGCTCTATCTTGACCTGCCCCCTGCTCAAAGTGAGCAGATCCATGATGTGGACGTAGAGGCCGTAGAAGAGCAGGTAGCAGATGAAGCTGCAATGGAGGCCGCTGAGCAGATGGCGCCGGTTGAGCAGAGTGATGCGAAGGTAGCTAAGGACGTGACCGGCTGGGGGTCGTCTGCCGAAGTCCTCTAGTATATGTAGTTGATTTTTGCTGTTTTTGAACTTTGTAATTTCTTTTCAATAAGTGGCCTTTGGTTGACCACCTTATTTCTTGTTGAACTTGGCCGGTTGGCCACTTTGCAATGGAATTTTCAGTTGTCTTTCAAACTTCAATTCTCATTGTATCTTGTAAGTGTATGTCCGGAGACATAGCGCTTGAAAGAGACTCCATTGAATTTGTACTCGAGAAGTAGCTTGCCTACAATGGAGGTAAGGCTTGTAGCCTGTGTACGCATGTCAGGGACATAGCCCTTGAAAAATGCTCCATTGAGTTCGTGCTTCGAGGAGCAGCTTGTCTGTAATGGAGGTTCCATTGAGTTCGTGCTTCGAGGAGCAGCTTGTCTGCAATGGAGGTGAGGCTTGTCGCCTGCGAGCGTATGTTGGGGACATAACACTCAGAAAATGCTCTATTGAGTTCGTGCTTCGAGGAGCAGCTTGTCTGCAATGGAGGTTCCATTGAGTTCGTGCTTCGAGGAGCAGCCTGTCTGCAATGGAGGTGGGGCTTGTCGCCTGCGAGCATATGTCGGGGACATAATACTCAAGAAATGCTCCATTGAGTTCGTGCTTCGAGGAGCAGCTTGTCTGCAATGGAGGTTCCATTGAGTTCGTGCTTCGAGGAGTAGCTTGTCTGCAATGGAGGTAAGGCTGGTTGCCTGCATGTGTATGTTTGTGGGACATAATGCTCGAAAAAAAAAGACTTCATTGAAAAACTTGCTCTTGTTTTGATGTTGGTGTGACTACATCGCTTTATTGAATAAAAGAAATGGACAACATAGATAACATTGAAAGCAGTTTGTCTTCAATGGAAGTAAGGGAGGCTTGTCGCCTGTTAGGAGCCCAGCTGGTGAGCGAAGGGCTTCATGGATAGTATCTCCGAAGGTGGTGTGCATTCCATTGTCTTGGAATTTCTTTTCCTTCTATAGTGTTGAGGGTGTAACTTCCTCTGCCCCCAGGTCGGCTGATCACGTAGGGGCCTTCCCAGTTGGGCTTCATCTTCTTTGACCCTTGCCTTGGTGCTGTGATGAAACTTTTTCTAAGCACAAGGTCCCCAGGTCGAAACTGTCTGATCTTGGCCTTCTTATTGTAGTAGGATGTCAGTTGCTGCTGGTAGGCTGCCACTCGAACAATGGCCTTTTCCCGTTCTTCTTTGAGTAGATCAAGGTTGACTTTCATCTGCCTGCAGTTTTGGTCAAGACTGCCCACCTCAACGCTCATGGAAGGGATGGTGATGTGTGGGGGGATGATTGCTTCTGTCCCATAGGCTAGAGAAAATGGTGTCTCGCCGATTGATCTCCTTTTGGTTGTGCGATAAGCCCACAGGACTCCTGGTTGCTCATCAACCCATTTTCCTTCTGCGCCTTCCAGTCTTTTCTTCAGGCAGTCCAGCACGATCTTGTTGGATGCCTCTGCTTGGCCATTGCTTTGCGGGTATCTGGGAGTTGACAGGTGCTGTTTGATGCCATACTTCGCAAAGAATGCGGTGATCTGCCTGCCTACGAACTGCGTACCATTTTCGGTGACTATCGACTGCGGGCATCCGAACTGGCAGATGATGTTTTTCCAGATAAATCTTTCGACATCAACTTCCTTGGTAGAGGATAAAGCCTTGGCCTCGATCCATTTGGTGAAGTAATCTGTGGCGACGATCATCATCTCCTTGTTGGCAGGTGCTGTCGGCATAGGTCCCACCAAGTCGATGGCCCATTGCATGAAAGGCCATGGACTGTTCTGCGGATGGTATTCCTCAGTTGGTAAGCCAGGGATCGGCTTATATCGTTGGCACCGATCACATCTTTGAGCATACTCCGTGGAGTCTTGGCGCATGGTAGGCTAGAAGTAGCCTATGCTGAGAGCCTTCTGGGCAAGCGATCTGCCCCCAGCGTGATTTCCACATTCGCCGTCGTGTATTTTGCAAAGAACCTCGAGCGTCTTCGGGTACTTGATGCAAGTAAGGTGAGGGCCGGAGTATGATCTGCGAACAAGCATGTCACCTTTCATGTAGTACCTCGCAGCCTTCTGTTTGATTTTCCGAGCCTCGGACTTATCCTTGGGTAAGTTTTCGTTAACCAGGTAGTCAATGATGGG